TGTTGTTTTTTCGTTTTTTTTTACCAGTGGAAAGTGTTATGATTCCATTTCTAACCTTAGGTCTCTGGGCAGGACCCGGAAAGAAGTGTCTAGATGCCAGAAATCAAAGGAAATAAAAACAATAATAATCTAAAACTTGAAGGTGGAATTTACTCTATCATTTGTAATAATTGCTACAAGGAATATATAGTTGAAACCTTATGAAAATAATTAAAGATTATAGGGACTCAAAGGGGATCTTTTATAAAACAGCACATTAAATGCATTAATTGCTCATCATAATAATAATAATCATATAATAAGACTGAGCACAATTTTAATTTAAAAAATGCTACTTTAATTAAAAGATAGAGCAATTTACTAAAACAAAAATGTATAGAAAGTGTTTTAATCACTTGATCATCCACAGCAGGTTCTTACAACATTTCACCAAGTCACATTTTCTATTATCATAACATTGGGTACGTAATAACAGAAGTGATAAAAACATAAACGAAAAGAAAAAGAAACTAAATGAAACTGGCTCAACTATGTAATTCAAATAGAGTAAAAAATAAATAAATTTAAAAGTTAAAAATTTCATCATCTCTTCTTTTCATGGGTATGTGTAGCTGCATCAACATAAACCTCACTTTAGATTGATGAAGTTCTAAAGGACAAAACCTCACTTTAGATTGATGAAGTTCTAAAGGACAAAACCTCACTTTAGATTGATGAAGTTCTAAAGGACAAAACCTCACTTTAGATTGATGAAGTTCTAAAGGACAAAACCTCACTATAGATTGATGAAGTTCTAAAGGACAAAACGTGCAATACAAAAGTTTTTTTTCCACTTTCTCATTAATTTTCCTAATTGCTGATACCCCCTGATGAGTGGATGGAATGATTCTTGGATGGTCTGTCTACGAAACTCTAGAGTCGGTATGCTGAAGGTAACATCAATCAGCTAAGTGACAAACCTTTTACTTGTATTAATTATATATATATATATATATATCTTGAAAATATATTTTCAATTGAGCACTGTTGAATGACAAGATAATTCTAAACACAACGGTCACCTGCATAAATGCGAAGCTCTTCAGTAAAATGAATGGAGCACTTTGGCTGTTTGGCGTTTGTTTACGTTTGTGAAAACAATATGCCAGATTTGGCTGATAGGTTCTGTTGAGTGAAGATGGCTCAGTGGTAGAAGCTCTGATTGACACCAAATTGGTTGGGTTTCAATCTGGGCTTGAGGCATTCATTTGTCTAGTCGCACTGAGGAGCTGTGATACAGTGAAACAGTACAGCCTGCGAATGACATATATATGAGGGAAAGTCAAAAATTATCCCACATACAGTTATATATATGTTATGGTGAAAGCACAGATAATTTTTGACTTACCCTCGTATATGATAAAAACATAGTTTAAAGGTATGCTATATTTATGCGTCAAAAGTGCTCAATATCAGAGATAGAGTGTATGTAGATATAAGAGTGGACACTGAGATCAACACAGAATGGCAACAGTCTGGTTCACCCAACAGATGAAAACTAAGGTCAGTTTAAAGAATAATCAATAATTTTTAATAATTTGAGACAACGTGAAACTTTTGTTGTCATTGTAAATTCGATTAATTTGTTACATGGATATCGTACAACAACTGGGTGGTGGATTTATATTCATATTAGGAAGGTATTTTTTTTTTTTGCCATGGTTTTTTCTTCTGATTAATTAGCTTAGGAATATTTAAAATATTGATTAATATACTTTCAGCTGTAAATGCTAACTTCACAGTCTCAACTTAGGTCAATATATATTTCTTATTGAGTAAGTTTTTGTAAAATATAAAAACATCTCATTTCTATTATTATTTTTTGGCAGAAGTCCAAAATTTTCAAAGATACTTATATATTTCTTTTGCAAATTTGCTATGAGCACTAAACAAATTATACAAATGGGTAATACAGTAGTGGAGCCAGTAGTCTTGTCTTAACCGGTTACATGTTGCTATATTTCTAGTTTTCAATTTTAAGTGAATGGAATCAGAGGTTACACAATGATAAAAATGTCTACTCATGAAATTATATTGTATCCTGTTTTCCTATTTTCATAGCCAGTTACAAATGTAATTCACTTATTCTTAAATGTTATTGTTCACAAAATTAAATTAAACTAAATTATAGATTAATTTCATTTGTAAATGTGCCCGATAAACCTTACATCAAAATTCCAGACAGCCTGGAAAAGTAAATACTTGCAACTCGGGTTACTTATAAAAATTATATACAAGTCCACAGTCATTGAATGTTTGCCAGCATAAGAATGAATGGAATAGCAAGCTGAAATTTGAGTCCTTGCTGATCTTCATATGAACTGAGAATCTTTGGAACCAGTAACTTAAGAACCATCACAGAGTGTAGTGTTATGTTATCTAATGCCTACTGAGATAGATTAATAATCTCTGGTAATTTTCTTTTTTTAGAGTGATGCCCAATATTGGCCAGCAGCAAAGATATACATGGATTTTAAACAGAAAAAGAAAAAAGAAAGAACATGTTTTCCTCATTATTGATTTTGTGCATTGGTTACCTTGTTAACCGATCAATCCATCTTTGCAGAAAATAAGATATTACAAATATTTTTGAAAAATGAATACAGAAAGTTTTCACTTTTCAAACTTTTTTCTTTTACTCCACGTTTGTCAGTCTCAGTACTAGTACACTTCGCTCCTTCCAAAAAAATTGTTTTAACATAGATACAGTAACAAAATCTGTCTATGTGCAGTTTGATAATAATAGGATCTTCTTGATTGTCTCCCTTTAAACATTTAATAACTCTCCTGGTTCCTGATCATGTGATGGAATCAGCACATTTTTGGAAAAAAGAGACAAAGTGACAATGTTGATGTCTCATTCCATAAAAACTGTGATTTATTAACCATTCATTTAATATTTAAGCAAGTAAATTCTTAAGTGAATCTTTTTTTCAGTCATTGTTAATATAAAAATAGTTGATGATTATACAGATATACAATGAAAAAATTAGTTGTGTTATTTCAGGTGATTTTTATATTTTTAGGTACTGAATTCAAAAATAAAAATACAAAAAATCTTTCTTCGTTACATAACAATTTTTTCATGAATCTCCTTTTAAGTTTTCATGATAAGTTTGCAGGATACATTGGGACTTTTTCTTTAAATTGCAGTATATGTTTGAATTCGTTACTTTCTAATATTGGATTAAAACTTGAAAACCAAGCCAAAACATAGGACCTTCACAGTGGCTCCTCTATTTGTGTCCAGGAACTATGACAAAGGAAAAAAAAACACAAATGCTTTTGAAATTTCACTGAGTGAAAAAAAAAATCTTCAGTGAACAATATTGTCTCATGTGTTAAGACCTGAAAGTTCTGTTCATTTGTGTCAGAAATCCTGATATACAAACTTGCCAGGTGTTTTTTTTTGTTTGTGGGACAGCAGACACCAAGATTTACATTGGGTTCAGAAGGAAAAGTAACATAGATAGAAGATATATATTGGTACTAAAAGCATAATCAAATCTAGCACAGTAAATCCAGAAAATATTCTGCTGTTATTATTTCATATTACTAGCTATGATTATAGACACCATTACCAATGCCACAGTTCTCCTACATCATCTACAAAATGCTGCTAATGATGTTGGACTATATGTCAGTGCCTCTGAGACTGAATTCAAAGGCTTCAATCAACAAGGATCAATATGAACTGTCGCAGGTAAATCAATAAAATCTGTCAAAACTTTTACATACTGAGGAAGCAAGATAATTTCTACCGAAAAGGATGTGAAAATTCACATAGGTAGAGCCTGGGCCACCTTGAATAAAATGGATGGAATCTGGAAATCTGATCTACTAGACAATCTCAAGTGGAGATTCTTTCAAGCCACTGGGGAGATGGTGTTAATGTATGGTGCCACTGTCTGGACATTAACTAAAACCCTATGCTTGATAGAAGCTACACTTGGATACTGAGAGCTATACTTAATATCTCTTGGAAACATCATCCAACTAAATCAGAGCTCTATGAACACATTCCTGATATTTCTACAATCTTGTGCTTTGCAAGACACTGCTGCCAAGCAAAACAAGAAGTTGCAAGTCATCTACTACTCTGGACACCTAGCCATGGAACGAGACAGGTTGGTCACCCAAAAACCACCTATATTGACCAGCTATGACACAAAATGCCTCCCTAATGACTTTAGGACTGTGATGGTTGGCATGATTGACTTATGAATGTCCAAGCTGGCTTGACCAAATAAATAAATAAGCTTGGTTTAATGAGGCAGTTTCTTAAAGTCTAATCTATAGATAGAACGTGTTTTAGTTTTTTTTATATCATAAGTATCCTTTCAGTTTTGCTCTAGACAATCTAGGATACTTACGATGTAAAAAACGAAAACACGTTCTATCTTTAGATTAGACTTTAAGAAACTGCTTCATTAAACCAAGATTATTTATAGCATGTGATAGATGAGAAAATAAAATCCTTGATAAGAGTAGTAGTTTATATGAGGATAGATGCTCATAGGAAATACATAACGGTTTAAAAGGTTTGCTAATGGAGTTGGTATGTCTTTAGTTTTCCAGTTCAAAAGTACCTTTCTTTAGAGAATAAGTAAATTAAGGAATATGTTGCAATATAGAAAGGTAGAAAGAAATATTAGAAGTGACAAAGGGAATTTAACTGATTGAAATAATTTTCTTGAATCGTTTGAAAGTAGATTCAAAAATTTCAGAAGTATCACTTCTGGTAAATAACACTGAGGTTTCATTATGTAAAAAGTTCATGCATTCTTAAAGATTTTTTTCTTTGTCAGCTATGCTGAAAGAATAGTGTTGACCATTTCTATTTAAGAAAAAAATGAGAAAGAAAAATAGAGAAGAAAATGTGGAAATGACAATATATGGAAAACAAAGAACAAAGATGGACATGATAAATTTTAAGTAGAAAATGAATAGCAAGAAAGAGTTTAAGGAAAAAAGACAGAGACAAGAAAGATAGAGAGAAATAAGAAAGAAAGACACAACAAAAGACAGAAATAAAGGTAGAAAGAAAGAAAGAAAGAGAGATAGACAGAATTAGAAAGAAAGACAGAAAGAAAGGTAGACATAAAGAAAGATAGAAAGAAAGAAAGATAGATATAGATAAAAGAAAGAAATGCAGAACTACAGAAAGAAAGATTGAAAGATAGAAAGAAGCATAGATAAAAAGAAAGAAATACAAAACTATAGAAAGAAAGAACGGAAGACAGACAGAATGATAGGTAGAAAGATAGATAGAAAGAAAGATAAAAAGAAAGAAAGAAATACAGAACTACAGAAAAAAGAAAGAAAGGTAGACAGACAGAAAGATAGATAGATAAAAAGATAGATATAAAGAAAAATAGATAAAAGAAAGAAAGAAAGAAGATAGAAAGATAGATAGATAGAAAGAAAGATAAAAAGAAAAAGAAATACAGAACTACAAGAAAGAAAGACAGAAAGGTAGACAAACAGATAGAAAGATAGATAAAAAGAAAGAAAGAAATACGAAACTATAGAAAGACAGACAGACAGACAGACTGTTGAGGTTTTGCTTTATTGGAAAAGCTTCTTTGTGGCTGAGTCAGTTAAGGCGCAGTGAATCCAACAATGGTTTCCTCTATTCAGGTTGAAATACTGCTATAAAGTATTTCCTTAATAAGATTTCTCAAGTATTCAGGTTAGTAGACAGAAAAGAATAAGTATACTGTTTAATAAATAAATGGCTTCTATTCAAATATGAATATCAACTAAAAATAATGGTTAAGTGATAAAATATATATATATATATATATATATATAAAGTTGTGCTTAAGTTGATTTGCAGCAGATCTTTATAGTAAACAGTCATATTATCTGAAATGCTTGTAGAAATGGACATATACATGATGTAGATAAAGTTGGTATATTTAGTAAATGCCATTGCTTACAGTTGAAAGGGGAAACAGAAGTCTAAATATATTGACTCAGAGAAGATGTCAGGTAGTTTCAGTTGCCAGTCTTTTGATGTCTAACTGCTTTGTTTATTTTTGTGAGAAAACAGAGTCATTCAGCATTATGTACATGAAGTGGAATTTTTTGAATTGACTGATTACAACCTGTTGCAAAGTCGTGTATTTATCCATTTTCAGGGGATGCAAAACTTAAGGTTTTCGAATTTACTCAAACCAACATCATTTTTATGCCTCTTGATCTTTTTTCTACTAGCTTGATAAATTTCTAATCCTATTCTAGATTTTATTTTTAATGGCATTTCCGTGAAGTTTGCTATATATATATATATATATATATATATATATATTATGAACTGGACTAAGTTCAACAATTATGTTAATATATTTTCTGTTTATAAAAAATAAGGTATAAACAGAGTATATATATATATATATATATATATATTTGTGTGAGCGCGTGTGTGTGTGTCTATGTATGCATGTTGTATGTGTGTGTATTGATCCTTTTTCTATGTGCCATATGACATGCCTGAGAAATCTATTTTTATTATTAAATTTTAAATGAATTATCAAAAGACTTATCAACACATACATCTCAAGAAAATAATACTAATTGTTAATTAAATCCCATTTGCCTGGCACATAATAATGTAAGAATATATTTGTCCTGTTCGTTAAAAATTGATGTTTGTAAGTACATAGAAAGTAGTGCTTATTGATGTTTTTCATAAAAACATTAAAAACATTGTTTGCACAAAAGTCAAACTGACAGAGTAAATGTCATATTTTGTATCTTAAAATAAAAATTGTGATTTAAAAATTCTGCATATTACTTTTTCCCAAGAAAGCTTCATCATGATGGTACCTTGCCATGGAGTTTGGTGTTATGTCCCATATAGATATATTGAAATTTACCATTGTCAAATACTCAGCATGTAAGACAGTCATTTTACAGTCACATGCTTACAATATCACTATAAAATATTATAGCTATGATGACATTTAAAAGTATTTGAATAAGGGAAAGATGATACATCAACAAAACTGTGGATCTTAAAAATGTTAAGTACAGCCTTGTTTTAAGATACAAAAAACATTGTTACTTTTAATAAAAGATGTATCAATAAAAAAAACAAAATCGATAGCTGCATTCGTCACAAGTGGGAAAAATTTAAATCTGCATGGCACTTTACTCCAATTGGCTCATTCGCTTGCTTAAACTCAATACTGATTCTGATTCTGCAGAACTGGGTCAGGTGTGAAAAAGTATTTGTTGTTAACATTCTTTTTTCATTCAGTTTTTCCAGTTACAAGTCCTTTTTTTAAAGCTAATCGTTTTGTGTTCATTTTGTTTAGTTCTTTTTTTGTAACAGATTTAATTTTTAGTATAGAGCTTCGAAAAAATTTGCACTGTGAGATAGGCAAGAAGTAAGGCATGTAGCAACATCAGCACAGCAAAGGGCACTCCTTTAAAGGCAAGGAAGGGCAAAAATATTTTAAGTCAAGTGATAGCGATTGCTGTATGAGTCGGACAATTTTTTAATCAAGCATGGGCAACGGTGGGCCATGCTGCTAGTATATATATATATAAAAGTAATGAATCTATGTATTTGTATGCATAAGCATAATCTGAATTATCTAAAAAGTGTTGACCTATCATTATATATATATATATATATATATATGTATGTGTATGTATGTATGTGTGAACATGCATGTGTGAATGAAAACGAGGTGCTGGAAAGTTCATCTTATTAAGAAAGGATTCCCTCTAAAAATTCTGATGTTGCTATTTTGCATGATTTTGGTAAGTGAATCAAATTAATTCCTTAGCAACTAGAACAATTTAGAAAATGCTATTGTATTCATATTATCAACTGAAAATAATGTAATTTTCAGTTGACAATATGAATTCAATAGCATTTTCTAAATTCACTTTGTTTGTTGTTAATTGTTACTTTGTTTTCAATAGATTCATTTTGTTTTAGCCCTTGTTTTCAATAAATTCATTTTGTTTTAGCCCTTGTTTTCAATAAATTCATTTTGTTTTAGCCCTTGTTTTCAATAAATTCATTTTGTTTTAGGCTTTGTTTTCAATAAATTCATTTCGTTTTAGGCTTTGTTTTCAATAAATTCATTTCGTTTTAGCCTTTGTTCATATTGGACGAAATGTGTTGGCTAATAATACATTTTTCATATTGTCTTTTACCTTTATACATATTGCCTTTTTCTACAGGTTAACTCAGAGAAATTTTTTATATATATATATATATATATATATATATATATATATATATATATATATATATATATATATAAGTAAATAGTGACATTAGTTATTTCTATACAGGAAATGTTCAGCATTCATTGACTAAATAGTTGGTTGAAATTTATAAAATCTTTTTTAAAAACTTTTTTTCCCAAAATCAGACTTCTGAAATCCATTGTTATCACTGTTTCTAGTATTGATAGGAGTTTCTTTCCTTAACTTTTTCTGAAGAAAGGCAGAAATTTATCATCTTGATAATATCATTATTCTCTCTCTTAAAAACTACCCATTTTAGTTGTTGCCGTTACTGGAAGTTTTCAAGTGATGTTGTTTTTGTTATTTGGTAAAGCTCAATATTTGTGATTTTGTAGCACCAGTCAATAGAGACTGATGATTGATTGCCTTCTTTAAGACCTAAAAGATTCACTTGCTTAAAGCTATTTTTAGTCATTCTTCCGAAAAAAAAAACAAAAAACAAACAATTGGATATAGATGATAGTTAACACATTTCTGAACAAGTTGGATGCCTTGCATGATCTATCTTATCTATACATATATATATATATATATATATATATGCAAGACTTCTCAGTAAATCGAATCAAGTTCTCTCAGTAAACAGCTTAAATAGAGTTTACACTGTTGTGATTGGCTGTTGGTGAACCTCCAATCAAATGTGTGATAACGGGGTACATTTATAGAAGTCAGTGTCTACAAGCATTTTTTAGAGGGCATATCAGAATCTGATCAGCTCTGATGGGGTCGACTTGGTGAGGTCAGTATGATGTTTGAAAGACCCAAAACTGCCCAATGATCCAATTTCAGAACATCACTGATGACGCCCTCTAGTGCAAGAAGAGCGTATGTTCAAAGTATCTAAAAATAAATACACTTAAATTCACCTTCATCCCTGCTGTGCGCCAACAGCTTAGTGGTAGAAAACCCGATTGATGTCAATTTAGTCAGGTTTCGATCCTAGTCTAACCACACTGATGAGCTGTGATACAGCAAAACAGTCTGTCTGTGGATGACAATATATATGCTCCTGAAAAATTTATTTCGGTTGAGCTCTCTGGGGAGGAAGTGTGGGTTTGTAAACAGTGACTATTACGGCTAATAATACAAGACTCTTTGGTAAATTGAATCGAGTTCTCTCAGTCACTGTGTGTTTATCTAAAAATAAATGCACTTAAATTCACCTTCATCCTTGCCGTGCGCCAATGGCTTAGTGGTAGAATCCCTGACTGACGCCATTTCAGTCGGGTTTTGATCCTAGCTAGAGGCAACCGGACGTCTAGCCACACTGATGAGCTGTGACATATATATATATATATATATATATATATATATATATACATACACACAAAACTCAAAGGCAACCAATAATACAGAAACCAAGAAAAAATATCGAAGAGAAAGGGAAAATGAAACTAAGATTAAAAGACTGGATACTCACCTAAACAATAACGAACAATGATCTATGTCTGTTACCAAGACATAGTGTCATGACTCAGAAAAAGAAAAATATATACTGGCAGCAAATAAAAAATGAGTTCAGCAGATATACAAAATTAGAAATGGTGTAAGTATGTGTCTTCTCACCAGACTTATTCAATCTATACAGGAAGGCATTTGTGAGAGAAGTAGAAATCCTACCAGGATTCATCATTGGTGTTCACAAGGATAAAAGATATGTAGATGACACAGTGCTGATAGCAGACATGGAAAGAAAACCACAAAACCTCAGTAGATAGTGAAGCAGAGTGAGAAGAAAGAACTAAGCATAAACTATAAGAAGACAGACTGCATAGTCACCAGCAAAAAGATGAGCCCAAAATGCAAATTACAGGTTGGTGATACTAAAATCAAGCAGACACAAAAATTTAAATATCTGGGAAGTGTTCTAACAGAGGACTTAAAGTGCAACACTAAGATCAGAAGTTATATTGGGGTCGCCAAAGAAGCTAAGCAGAGTATTAAGAGAGGAAAATTTCATTGGAAACAAAGAAAAGAGTACTCTTTCACGTGATATTTGTCCTCCTGTATGGGAATGAATGCTGGACAATCTCCTCAAAGATGAAGAAGAGACTCAAAACAACAGAAATGTGGTTCTACAAAAGAATGCTAAGGATACCATGGGCCAAACATGTGAGCAACAACAAAGTTTTGGGGAGAACAGAAAGAAAGAGGAAACTTATAGGAAGAGGCAGTTGAAATTTCTGAGGCATGTAATAAGGAAGGAGGGTTTGGAAAATCTGATACTCACAGGACGGATAGAAGGAAAGTGAGAGGGGAAAGCAATGTGTGACATACTTAATGGGCTTGAGTAAATGGATGGCAGAACAGGGTTTGAGAGAAATAAAAAAGACAAAACTTATTAAGAGCTACAAGAGGCAGGAGGATGTGGAGGACCATGATCACATATGTCCTGAAGTGACACGACATATAAAAGAAAGAAAAAAAAAACTTCATTTTCATGCTACCGACCATGATCATCCAGTGACCATATATATGTGCATGTGTGTGTGTTTGTTAATATGGATATAACATCTTTTAAAGACATACTTCTATCTTGAACACATATGAACCTATACATGCGATACAAAAATTGTACATATTAATATCCAGACAAATCATCTTAATAATACTGTCTTTGAAACATATTTTTGAACATATGCATGTTCATAAATGCATACATATATTTACCTGTGTGTGTGTGTGTGTATATATATATATATATATATATATATATATATATATATATATATACCTAAGTATAAATAGTGTGTTCTTAATAAGTTTTGAAAGGAATTTTGCTTTATTTAAACTTTGGGTAAAATAACTTGATACTGTAACCATTATAAATTGAAAGCACGTTAGGATAAAAAAAAGAAATTGATAATGAAAATGGCAATCTTCCTATGTTATCATTGGTTTCAATCTCCCATGTCAGTTTTAAAGTTTTATCTTAGGCACATGATAGAGTGCATAATCAGAATTTTATCTTTTCATGTGAGTAATAAACATATGTCAAGGTCCATATCAAAAGGTGGATCTTACATGTGCTACGGCTTCAGATAAATGACTTCACTGCTCTATTCTAAATTTTATGACAAGGGGGATAAGTACACTTTTTAAATATTACTCCTTTGTCTATAAGCCAGTTTGTTCTAGCATTTTCTGTTAACTGTGAAGATATATTTCAACCAATGTTTATTGATGTATATGCGAGACATGCAACATCAAAATTACTGCAGCCACACAAAAAAAAGAATTAAAAAAAACTTATATTCAACTACACAATTGATATAAATCCCACTGTTATAAGATAGAGAATAAAAGACCAGAGACAAAATGGGCAATGTTAGCCTTCATTCCTGCAACAAAAAATGGTATGTTAAAAGGACAATCATTCGCTTGACACCACTATTATTTTATACACTTTTGACTCCCTCGGCAATGTTTATTTTTAAAAGCAATAATTAGAATCTTAATAAAAGCCAAACATGAAAGTGGACTTATACATTTTTTTCTTGAGAATAAAGATATTAAACAGTATTTATTTATTAGATTGATTATTTACAAGTATAGTTTTATATTTACAAAGTTATAAATCTAACAGTTTTATGACCAACTGTATAACTGGCCAACTCTAGTAAATAAACAGTAATTTTATGTT